TGAATATATTAATTGCTTCTTGTAGTATATGTAGTCATCTTTGCTCATTTATTATTTCACTAATCTGGTTAAAAATATGTTTCTGTGAAGCAAATTGATAATTACATTTACAAGAAATCCCTAATAGTATTATTATATTTGAGATATGTAACTGAATTTTCTCATAAGAAAAAAGATTTATAAGAATAGCAAGCCAAACATGTCTTTCTCAAAAAGAAACTTTTCTTACCGTTATTTATATTTGAGTTAAAAATATATAGAATTTTAGAATTTTAAAAATGTATGCTCATATTTTCAATACTACTGTGATATTCCTATAGGAACATCTTAGATATTATTTCTTCTTATCCAGTTTTAGGCATGAGAAAGTGCAGCAGATAGTATATGAATGTAAGAATTTTAGTTTAAAAAAATCAGTGTTATTGACAATTTTTAAATGTTAGTGTTTGCTGCAAAAATATTACTATTGACTATTTAATTGATCAGTATTGATGTGCTAAGTGTATTTTATTGTCATTTGGAAGAAGGTCAATTCCAACAGTGCTCAGTGGCCTAGAGCCTCTGCCAGCAGTGCTCAGAGAGGATACATAGTACTGTGGATGGAAACCAGGGTCTCATACCTGCAAGGTATATGCACTACCACTTGAGTCATTTCCCAGGTTGTTATTATATGTTTATTTTTTAATACTATATTTATTTGGAAGTACAAAAGCCACAACTGTTACTACAATTCTAGAATTAAAATTGATTCGATAACAATGTTCCAATATTAAAATCAATAAGCATTTTAAAAATTAGTGTATGTGAAAATTGTTATGTTTGATCTTGGGGTTGTTAAGTTCTTGTCTATGTATTGATTAAGCTGTTGTTGAATGCGCCATGTGTTATTATTTTCGTTTGTTGAGTTTATTTGGCTTGTGTTGCTTTCCAGTCTAATTTGATGTGTTCCTACTGGAATTTCAGATTTCAGGCAGGATTTATGGTCTTGGACAATAAATCAATGTGCTGTGGGAGGTGGGTGAAGTTCTGGGGCTTCCAAAGGTAAGAACTTTGGGAGAGACTGTCTACCTGGAAATTGAAAAACATCAGAGTTCTCAGCCTGGGCACTGGGTGCCTGAAATTATCTGCAGTTTGCCACCTTTGCATAGAATATTCGTGAAGCTTTGGAGTTGAGTGCTTGGCATGACTACTGTGGGTACCTGTGTGCAGCTGCCTGAGTATTTACTAGGCAGTTACAAAATCCGCCCACCCCCATGGGCACCCTGGAGTTTTTGGCTGTATGGACTGATGTTTCCATGAATTTTTCCTGCTTGGCATGCATCTTCTGGGAAATGTAGTCCTGAATAGGTAGAGTAGGGCCATTTTAAAAATTTTTGTTGTTTAAATTACTCTCATGGTTTGCCTGAAACACAAGTTGTATTTATTTCCACTTAATAAGAAATAGTCTTAGGGCTGATTTGCTTGTGTAAGATCAAAAATACATAAAGATCGGCCAAATTGCAGGTCAAATCAAGTTGTAGGAGTCCGGAGTCAGTATTTTAATTAACATTCAAACCCAACTGAGTAAGATTTATCTTTATAACTTATAAAACTTGGAACTTATAAAAGTTTTCTTATCTTATTTAGAGGGCAAGAAGAGACCTCCCAAGTGGTGCTTAGGAGACCTGAGGGTCCCACTGATGGTTGTGGGCCAACTATGACTTTGTTTCAATTCCAAGGGGGGTGATGTGATATTGATCCTGTCTGAAGTGCCAGATAAAACCTGGTTACCAGGAGGTCTCTGGGGGACCCAGGCTAGCGTACAGCAGTACTCAGGGGACCATGTGGTGTCAAGAATCAAACCAAGGTCAGACAAATGCTAGGCATGTGCCTAACTGCTGTTCTATGTGCTGGTCCTAATTTTATTTTTTAAATCAATAACTCATTAGTAAGCAATTGCCTAATTTAAAGATGCATGTTTTGACTTCACTTTTATAAATATAGTGTTAACTTGTGACAACTCTATTTATTAAGCTTACTACAGAATTTTTAGGTTTACCACTCACTTAAAATAAATTAATTTACCTAATATTTAACAAACATCTGCTCATTTCCTAGTCTGTGCCAAATATCTTGCCAATCATTAATGTTAAGAGAATATTAAAATTAAGGATCTGGACATTATGAATGTCATAGCTATAGTTAATAACCAGAACCAATGAGAGAATAAATAGAACTTTATTTTTATTCATTATTTTATTCCAAATTTCCTCTTTTGCCCATGTAAAAAGATAGATTTCTGGTTGATACTTCACTAGAAAAGAATAGAAATTAGAAAAAAGAATAAAAACTTTTCTAGTTTCTGGTACTAAATTTTCTTAACTGTGAATGAAAACTCACTTTTTAAAGTACTAAAATGTGCTGCCAACTACAGCATTAAATCTTTAGTATCATCTGATCCAAAGCTTCTTCTGTCTCTCAACTCATGCACAAACCTTGGCGAACACTTAAGATTAATGATGATGAAAGTATTGTTCTTGGCTTATTTTCTACTTTATTTCTGTTCCATCTTCTAACAGTGCGATAGCACAGCGGTAGGGCGTTCGCCTTACAAGCGGCCAACATGGCCGACCCGAGTTCGATTCCTCCGCCCCTCTCGGAGAGCCCGGCAAGCTACCGAGAGTATTCGATATGCCAGACACAGTAACAACAAAGTCTCCAATGGAGACGTTACTGGGCCCGCTCGAGCAAATCGACGACCAACGGGAGGGCCTTTACCTTTACCTTTACCTTCTAACAGTTAAACTCTTAGAGAAGAGGCATTGGGGGTGGGGGGCAGATAACTATTGCCACTGTAGTCTTGACTCCTGAACAAATGATTCCCAGACAAATGCCAGTTCATTTATAGAACAGAGCTATGGGTTCTTTAAATCATACTTTCCCCCTCCTAGCCCCATAAGTACTTCACTATAGGGATGGGAGTACATTTTTAACTTTGTTCAGCTGTTAAATTCTGTCCATCAGGTTTCATTACCCTTCTTCTTGGTGCTAGAGAAAGGCAGATCTCAAAGTTATCTTTTCCTGCATCTATGGGACCAAAATAAAATCCATGCACTGACCGACACGTGGGAAAAATGCAGTTAATTTTTATGGATACCTTTTCTCCTTTTCTTCTAGCATTCATTAGCATCAGGAAAGTGCTACATTGGAGGCTCTTTCCAGGTCAGGGGAATGAGACCCATCACTGTTAGTGGGTTTTGGCATACCGAATATGCCACGAGGAGCTTGTCAGATTCTGCTGTGCGGGCAGGATATTCTCAGTAGCCTTCCAGGTTCTCCGAGAGCGAGAACTAGACAATAAGAGGGCTCCCGGGCAAAAATGTGAACACGCGCTTCCTGGGAGTTCGATTTTATAGTCTCTGGCTTGGCCGTTGATGGGATTACACAGTGGGGCTGGGGTTAGTTTGTGGCTGTAACGCCTAGCTACTAGAAGATAGTGGATCTGGGTGGAGGAGGCCCAGTCTCAATCCAATAAGGCTTGGAGCTCTCAGTGCCGTGTCCTTCACACCTGGGTTCCTCAGCCGGTTCCTTCATGCATGAGGCTTGTCCTAGCGTGTGGAAAGTGATCTTAAGCATGGCTGTGGCAGGGTTCTGGAGGTCTTCAGCTGCTGGGGCTCTGCTCAGGGCAGGGAGGGAAAGTCAACCCGCCCCCCTCCAAGGGTCCCCGGTAAGGACAGCCAGGCGTGGGGGCAGGAGACTCTGCTGGACAAAATACGTAGATGTTGATAATTTCTAGATCATTATCTTTGTTTTTAGTTAAATATAGTTAGCTGTATTTAACCTCTAGCTTTTGATAGTATTTGTCAGTGTATTAAAATTTTAGACTCCAGATGCTAAGTCTACTGAAATAATTCTTTTGTGGCTGCATTTTATTTGGTCATCATACATTGAGGACAACTTTGTAGCAATTAGTATAATTTTAAGTCATATTTGTCTTCTTGGGTACATTATAATATTTTGTAGTTAACTAGCTCTTGAAAAAATGTAATTTTCTCTGTTCCTTGTTTTTATCAAATATTTCCATTTTCCTATCATGATTATCTATGAACCAATTATGTAGCACTGTATCACTATCCTCCCATTGTTCATCGATTTGCTCTAGCGGGCCCAGTAACATCTCCACTGTGACACTTGTTACTGTGTTTGGCATGTCAAATACGTCACTTCCTCATACAGAGCTACCATCTTCCTTCTTAGAAAATCCAAATGCCACTGGGATCTTACTGTCAGCCTCTAGCAAACCCTCGAAATCCATTATCAGAAATATTATGAGAAATAACCCCACTCCCATGAAGTGAGGAGTACCTCTGCCATTTAAATAAGAAGTATTTCTATTTATGGCTTTGCGGGGACTTAAACCCTCAAAACAACTACAAACTGCATGTTGGTCCACTCACTTCCTTATCAAGGCTCATCACGTTCCTTCTGTTTTTTATCTGCTCTTGATCACATTATAATTTAGGTACTATTTCTAGTCTGGTCCAACTTTAATTCCACTAAAAGGCGACTTTCACATCTATAATAAAAGTATGGGCATATTATCTGGGGATAAAAGTAAGCAATCTCTCTATGCTTGCTAAAGTAGTTGTTTCTTGTATATTCTTCTGGGGTAAACGTGTTTAGTAATGTGAAACTCAAAGATTGTAAGAAATAGGTATGTTCAAAAAACTGCCAACCATCTCTTAAAACTTCTCTTTGGTCCACCATCTCTTTGGTCTTCTTCAAAGGATATGATGAAGCTTTTATCCACAATCAACTTAACTCATATCTCTGGTTTTGGTAGCCCTATGTTTGAAGCAGTTGAGCAACTAAGGATACATAGTCCTATTCAAAATTAAAACCACGTTGGCTGTGTGCCGCATTAAAGGATTGATGTCTACACAGCAGAGACAGGAGATACACATTAAAGTCATCTGTCTGCCATTTCTTTCTCCTAAACAGTAAATATTTTGTCCCCATAGAGCCTTGCAGGGAAGATAGTTTTCAGTGCAAGAATGGAGACTGTATTCCTCTCGTCAATCTCTGTGATGGTTCAACACACTGTAAGGATGGCTCAGATGAAGAGAATTGTGGTACGTTTTACTTTTAGGAAAATGCTTTTACATCTATAGTTGATTATACTTGTGTTAGAAGGAAATTATGATTTTGTTTACTAGGAAATGCTTTGATGTTTTTAGATATGAAAATGTCCAGTGGTATTAGCTTTTCAGATTAAGAAAAAACAGCACAGAGCCTTCTTTTCTGATTAAATCTGGCTACTGAAATAGCTTTATGTCTAGAACAATGCCTCTTTAGTAGAATGCAGTTTATCAAAGAAAAATAATAGCTCATCCCAGGAACCTAATCCCAATTGTATTGACCATTGTACGCTGTTCTCTATATACAGAGATACACGCATGCGTATTTATAACTAATTTTCTTAATCTTGATCCTTTAGAGATTCTTCAGCACATTATCCTGTCTTGCTGGTGTTCATTCCAGCCAGTCTGCTTATAACATCATAAGTAAATACTTCTCATTTTTATCTCTAAACAAATATGTAATGGTACTTATTATGTGTCACACACTGTAAATGTGCTATAAAACAAGCTTAAAATAAAAATTAACTCTATTTTAATTTTAAGAAACAGGCTTAACATAGCAGTAACTTCCAAAGATCACATTCCTACTAAGTTTTGGTATACTCTATCAATCCAAATGCTGTTTCTCTTACTCTACTCAACTTTTTAAAATGTAGAATAACATTAACTTGCAGAATAACAGTATGCCATTTGTGAATAAAACCTACTTAAGTAGACTAATTTTGTTAACCTGATGTTTTACTTGTTGAGATAGGCTAGTTTAGCTTGAATTAGCCCCTACCTGAACACAAGTAGCCTAAACAGTTTATACAGAATGGTTATAAAATGGTGCGAATAATAAAAATAAGAAAAACTTGTAACAAAAGAACAAACGGAAATAAAATAGTTTCTAATGGAAGTCATCGGGGGAGAGCGAAGGCTCACTTTGGGTATATCTTCAGTCATAGACTACATGTGTAGCATATAGCATTGTTTTCTGCTTATGTAGTGCATTTATATAAATTCACTATATAGAACTTAGATACGTTGCATTGTTCATTTTTATAAAAATAAAAGAACAAAATTAATGTACTAAAGTTGAATTAGTATTTAAAATATATTCTTAAAAAAAGTTTCTAGATAAAATTCTAAGAACCCTGCACATTTAAAGTATATAATTTATTCTATCAATTTAGGTCAAATTGACCCTATTTATGGTCTCTTTAGTGCGTCTTTTCAATGGAACCAGAAACAGTGGATTAGTGCAGTTTAGAATTCAGAATACATGGCATGTAACTTGTGCTGATAACTGGACCACTCAGATTTCAAATAATGTTTGCCAGTCATTGGGACTAGGGTAAGTAACCACCCTTAATTCTTTTTGAAGAGATTCTTATACATTTTAATTGGTATCCAATTTAACTTATTATGAATTTATAATTTGCAGAAGTTATTAATTTATAGAAATATGCATAAAATAAAATTAAAGTCATGATTAAATTTTCAAAAATTAGTCATTGTTGATACCACTGTGCTAGCACAGCGGTAGGGCATTTGCCTTGCACGCAGCCCACATGGCCGACCCGAGTTCGATTCCTCTGCCCCTCTCGGAGAGCCCAGCAAGCTACTGAGAGTATCTCGTCCGCACAGCAGAGCCTGGCAAGCTCCCAGTGAAGTATTCGATATGCCAAACACAGTAACAACAAAGTCTCCAATGGAGACGTTACTGGGCCCGCTCGAGCAAATCGACGAACAACGGGAGGTCCTTTATCTTTATCTTTATCTAGTCATTGTTGATAGCTTTTTCTGAATAATATATTCCTATTTAGAAATATATCCTAAATTATTATTTAATATAATTATTTTTATTTGTAGCTCTCATATATAAACATTTCTCAAGTTACTAAAATTTTACTATAGATTATAATTTTAATTAAATTAAATGTTTTATTATATTTTCTATCTTAATTTGTATAATCACTAGGGCACTGCAGAAAACATGTTTTTCTTATGCATTTGCAACATGATCACTATATTTCTTATGGAAAATTTAGAGCAGTCTATCTATCGTGAGAAGGATATGCAAAATTTCAAGACTTTCCACAAGTTTAATATGTTACCATTCTAGTTAATGTGTCAACAAAATTTTATTCTATCTCCAGTCAAATATCATCCAATAATAAGTCATACACATTTATATATGTATACATTTATATGTATATATAATTCATCATATTTATTTATTTTGATTTTGGGGTCACAGCTGGCAATGCACAGGGTTACTCTTGGCTTTGCACTCAGGAATTACTCCTGGTGTTGCTCTGGAGACCTGGAATCGAACCTGGGTCAGCCGCATGCAAGGCAAATGCCCTACCCACTGTACTATCGTTCTAGCCTCACCATATTTATTTTTACCTTCCTGTCAATTTAATAAGGAGATAAAAGATGAAAGGCATTAAGCTAAAGTTTATTTCTCTTAAACTAAAATTCAATCAAATCTAATTTACCTATTATCATTTAACTCATGATATAGGAAAAATATTGGACCAAATATTACTCTATCATTAATATCACAATATTTTTATATGCTTGACTATTTCCAGCTATGAAGCGATAATAAGACATGTCTGTCTGATTCATTCTTACATCGCTAACATATAGTCTTATCTTTTTTTTTTTTGCTTTTTGGGGTCACACCCGTCAATGCACAGGGGTCACTCCTGGTTTTGCACTCAGGAATTGTCCCTGGAGGTGCTCAGGGGACCATATGGGATGCTGGGAATCGAACCTGGGTCGGCCACTTGCAAGGCAAATGCCCTACCCGCTTTGCTATCACTCCAGCCCCCCATATAGTCTTATCTCAAAATATCAAAACTAAATAAACACTTGTTAAATAAATAAATTATACATTATATATAAAATTTGAATATGCAAGATTATATCTATTAGCATATATTATATCTAAATATATGCTAAAAGTTTTTCAATTACAAAATCATCATCTTTCTTTTCTGAACTGGAGAATTATTTTCTATTTTTTCTAACATATTTTATAAAGTTATAAGGGAAATATAACTTCACATCTACCCAAACCCTCAGTATTTGGTAATTTTCTCAACTATTTCAAAATCAAATCAAATTCAATTCTAACATAACTTTATTTTGAGGGACTCTTCTCATTTATTGTTAGTCATTATGACAAACTCCTTTTACTAGATATACAATTTCAAAATTAATTTTTTCACCAAAAATGTATTTCCACCTAAAAATAAAGTTGCACACAGTAGTTTATAGTGGCAGATTTGAACTGCATATAACAAGCATTACACCTAATCACAGCATATACATTTTATCACAGCAAAAGGTATCAGGGGCCCAGCTGAAGTTTTAGGCATGCCTCATAATTTCTTGCAGTTGGACTGAGAACTTTTCAATCCTAAATGCTATTCTTTGAAAGTGCTAATTCCCTAGCCTCAAATCTTATCATACTGATTTCAGTCACAATTAAAAGATGTTTCTGCCAGTAACAAAGGGAGTTAATCATACATTTTTTAAAAATCATCAATTTGTTTTGTGTGTATCAGTCAGAAAGTTTATATGTAGTATCCTCTTATTTTATGTTATATCTCGTATTGTAGTGAACACTTTTCAACATGAGTAGATTTCAGACTTAAAGAGGCTGGCAGAAGGGTGGGTTATTGGGGGAACAAAGAGTTTTGATGAAGAGTCCAAAATACACTGGACTAACAGTTGTTTACTTATCCTCACTTCAAGAAAAGCACTAGGTAAGTGGCATGGATTTCCGGGTCCTACTTTCTCTTTGATTTTGGTTCAATAGCAAGTTCATGCAGGTGAAGTCACTTGTTCTCACTAGTAAAAATTGCCAGTGATGCTGGGCAGCTGTTTTCATATATTCCAGAACTAAGTGTGTAAAGATTAGGCTGAGGAGATTGTATCTTGACCTTGTTTCCACAACCGATGAACCCAGTGCTCTGGATGATTGGGTTTTCACTGTACAAGAGTTTGTTTTCTACTCAGCACCTTCTGAAAGCTTGATTATAAAACTCTTTACAAAGCATTTTTCATTCAAGTTTTTGAATATAAACTAATCCCTGTAGGATATAGAGGATCGGACAGAATTATATATGAAAATAAAAATGATTATCTTTTCGTTGGAAGCAATTTTTTGATTTCTAGCGAACTCAAAAGAAACATATTGGGTTTCTTGGGCATTATGCTCATTCCTGCATTTTCATGAGACAATATACTAAAAAACGAACATACATCTTTATTATTTTTTGGCAGTTGCCAATATAAATTCGTTATTCGGATTACCTCCGAATTACCAATCTAAGAATTAGTAGTGATGTTGTACTTGTTCCATGAATAATTAAGACATCGATTTTGCTTTAAATGTGGTGACAGTAGTGTAGATACTGTAGATGATTACCATAAAATATGACAAATTAGGACAATTGCAGTGTGCTATTAGAGACCTACTCAATTTGGGTATATCAAAGAAGGCTTCCTAGAAAACTGTGTGTGCTTAGTGGATGACAGCCAGTTCCGCTCAAAGGTACTATCTATTTACATGTTTCTTCTTCAGCCAGATTTTATTCTCTAGTTCACTGACCTCATTTCCTATGACTCATTTTCCTTGCAGCTAGAGACAAGCATAAAGAACTGTATTTTTCTAATGTAAAGCAAGTAGTACATATCACTGTCTCTCTAGACATAGTATCTCAGATGAACGTCAGGCACTTGCTTTTTTTCCCCTGAAATGAGTCAGGTAATCTCTGTAAAGACTTTAATCTCTGATCTTGCACTTATTAAATAGTCTCCATAGTGCTGTAGTAATTGAAAGAAAGTTATAGCCTTAATGAGAATTTGTCTCGACTGGTTCATGGTAACTGAAAGAAAAGTTAGCAAGTTTAAAAATGATGTGTTAGCTACAATGGAAAGCAATTTAGGAGTCAATTTATTAAGAAGGCACTATAGTTGCTCAAGATTATTTATGCAGATAGGGTACAAAATGCAATTCCCTGCAGATTCTAGTAAATCATGTGAGGCAGATTTTATCCACCTTCCCTTTTTTAAATGAAACATTTTCATTCTGTGCCATTTATAGCATGCATAAGTAAAACAGTACTTTGAATAACATTTTCATGGTCTCTGATAAAAGTATGAAAGAAAACATTTTATACTCATATAAGAATAAATGTTAAAGAAATTTAGGGGTAGTGATTTTTCAAGTGATATTTTCTAGGAAAGGCATTACCCTATTACTAACGCAATAAATGAACTCTGCAGTTGATTTGCCTTGCTAAGTCATTAGAACCTAAAAGTCATCAGCTCTGTACAGCTTTACAGAATTTAGTAAATGTTCATGTCTTAAAAATAGAGTTGGTTATATGCATCCCTATTAGGGAGCCTATGAGAAGTTGCTATTCATTTTAAATCCCATAATAATCCTATACAAGAGAACTTCATTTCAAATATCAGAAACATCAAGTTGAGCCTCTCATTCTCAGACTCAAATAAGAAATGGAATTACTTCTGTGTTCTTCCATTTCAGAGGCAGTTGGAAAGTTTTGGGGGATAAAGGATAAAATACATTTTAATAAGCCTTCCAAATACATAGAACTAACTGACTGAAACACTATAGCCCTTCTATCCACAATTTAGCACTAGGGTCTGGAAAATTTAAATAAAGCAATTTCATATTATTTAGGAAGTTAGTAGACAGATAAACTTCTATTCATTCTCCTGTCTATATTTCCCCATTTTTTCCCCCTATCATAATTCCCCAATTTTTAGCTAGGTGTAAAAAAATTTTACACAAAATGCCAAAGACAAGAATTAATGAGAATAGCTGCTCCAACATTAAATGTTTTATTTTTGGTCAATGTTATATAAAATTATAAAATAATATTTTCTGGTTGAACTTTTGTTTTATAAATTGAGCACATTTTGCTATAATAGGATAGATAGGGAGAGCTGTGGGCAAGAGGTTGGTAAAAATTAGTTTTCTTGATTAAATTCACGAAATTAAAAGCTTAGTTTTTGCCTTGAATAAAATTACAAATCTTATTTTTCCTATTAAAATTGGAAACATTAACAAAAAATAAGATGAGAAAAATTAATATCAAACAATAGTAACTTACTAACTTTCTAAGATTCATCTTTAATAAGTTTATTATGTAGCAGGATTGGGGGAAAGAGTGATTACATAATGATGCTTGCTTTAGACTAGGAATTGAAGGCAGATATGAAGTAAATAAAACCACTCTGATTTGTAATTCAAGAGTTAACTCAGCTGCCTATGAGACTAGTTTTAAATTAAGAAAATCTAGTCTG